GATCCTATTTATAATAAAGAAATCATAGAATCATAGAATAGTTAGGGTTGGAAAGGACCTTAAGATCATCTAGTTCCAGCCCCCCTGCCATGGGCAGGGACACCTCACACTAAACCATGCCACCCAAGTCTGTCCCACCTGGTCTTGAACACTGCCACGGATGGAGCATTCACAACTTCGTTGCACAAACCATTCCAGTGTCTCACCACCCTTACAGTAAAGAACTTCTTCCTTATATCCAATCTAAACTTCCCCTATTTAAGTTTTAACCCGTTACACCTTGTCTTGTCACTACAGTCCCTAATGAAGAGTGCCTCCCAAGCATCCCTATAGGCCCCCTTCAGATACTGGAAGACTGCTCTGAGGTCTCCACGCAGGCTTCTCTTCTCCAGGCTGAACAGCCCCAACTTTCTCAGCCTGTCTTCATACAGGAGGTGCTCCAGTCCCCCGATCATCCTCATGGCCCTTCTCCTGACTTGTTCTAACAGTTCCATGTCCTTTTTATGTTGAGGACACCAGAACTGTACACAGTATTCCAAGTGAGATCTCATGAGAGTAGAGGGGCAGGATCACCTCCTTTGACCTGCTGGTCACGCTCCTTTTGATGCAGCCCAGAATATGGTTGGCTTTCTGGGCTGACAAGAGCACACTGCCGGCTCATGTTCATTTTCTCATCGACCAACATTCCCAAGTCCTTCTCTGCATGGCTGCTCTGAATCTGTTTTCTGCCCAACCTGTAGCTGTGCCTGGGATTGCTCCGACCCAGGTGTAGGACCTCGTGCTTGGCATGGTTAAACTTCATAAGGTTGGCATCAGCCCACCTCACAAGCGTGTCGTGGTCCCTCTGGATGACACTCCATCCTTCCAGCATATCAACCAAACCACACAGCTTGGTGTCATCGGCAAACTTGCTGAGGGCGCACTCAATCCCACTGTCCATGTCACAAACAAAGATGTTGAACAAGACTGGTCCCAACACTGATCCCTGAGGGACAGCACTCGTTACTGGTCTCTAGCCGGACACTGAGCCATTGGCCACAACACTTTGTGTGTGGCCAACCAGCCAGTTCTTTATCCACCAAGTGGTCCACCTGTCAAATTGATGTCTCTCCAATTTAGAGACAAGGATGTGGTGTGGGGCAGTGTCGAACGCTTTGCACAAGTCCAGGTAGATGACATCAACTGCTCTACCCCTGTCCATAAGTTCTGTAGCTCCATCATAGAAGGCCACCAAATTGGTCAGGCAGGATTTCCCCTTAGTGAAGCCATGCTGGCTGTCACCAAGCACCTTGTTGTTTTTCATGTGCCTTAGCATGCCTTCCAGGAGAATCTGCTCCAAGATTTTGCCAGGCACAGAGGTGAGACTGACTGGTCTGTAGTTCCCCGGGTCATCCATTTTCCCCTTCTTGAAAATGGGGGCTATATTACCCTTTTTCCAGTTGTTGGGAACTTCCCCTGACTGCCACGATTTTCAAACAGGATGGACAGTGGATTAGCAAAATCATTTGCCAGCTCCTTCAGGACCCATGGATGGATTTCATCAGGTGCCATGGACTTGTGTACATTCAGGTTTTTAAGATGGTCTCAAAACATATCCTTTCCTAAAGTGGGCCCAGGGTCTTCATTCTCATAGTCCCTGTGTCTACCGTCCAAGACTTGGGTGGTGCAGTCAGAGCCTTTGCCAGTGAAGACCAAGGCAAAGAAGTCATTCAGAACCTCAGCCTTCTCCAAATCCTGTGTAGCCAGTTCTCCCGATAGCTTCCGGAGGGGGCCTGCGTTGTCCCTAGTCTGTTTATTATTCACTATGTACCTATAGAATCCCTTCCTGTTATCCTTAAGTTCCCTAGCCAAGTTTAATTCTAACTGGGCCTTAGTTTTCCTAACTTGGTCCCTAGCTTCCCGGACAACATCCCTGTACTCTTCCCAGGCCGACTGTCTTTGCTTCCACCTTTTATAAGCCTCTTTTTCAATTGAATTTTCCTCAGCAGCTCCTTATCCATCCAAGGAGGTCTCCTGGCCCTCCTGCTGCACTTCCTTCTAGTTGGCATGCAACGCTCCTGTGACCATGTAGCAAGTGATCCTTGAGTATCAACCAAGAGTCTTGGGCCCCCCTGCCCTCTAGGGCTGTATCCCATGGAACCTTCCTAAGCAGGTTCCTGAAGAGGCTAAAGTCTTAAAGTCCAGGGCAGTGAGCTTGCTGCATGCTCTTCTCACTGTCCAGAGGATCTCAAATTTGACCATCTCATGACCGCTACAGCCAAGGCTGCCCTGGATCATCACATTTCCAGCGAGCCCTTCTCTGTTGGTGAGCACAAAGTCAAGCATGGCACCTCTCCTTGTCGGCTCCTCTATTACTTGCAGAGGGAAGTTGTTTTCCACATAATCGAGGAACCTCCTGGATTGCTTGTTCCAGGCCATACTGTCATTCCAACAGATATCAGGGTCATTGAAGTCCGCCATGAGAGCAGGGGCCTGTGAGCGTGAGGCTGTTCCTATCTGTCTATAGAGTGCTTTATCCACAAATGTCCTGAAGTTGTTGTAATTAGGCTGTTACCAAGGTGGCAGCACATAGATGAAAATATTTTTCTCTGGCTGGTAGGCCAGGGAGATGGAAAGACAAGTACAGGTGTCCTTATAGTCCCTTTGGGAGCTGTGAGGTAGATTATATTCCCAGGTGGGACGTTTGTGAAGAAAGAATGTCTAGTGCACTTTGGCTGTCCTTCAGTTATGTGTCAAGCTCTGTTCTTTGTGTTCCTTAGGCTAAAAGGATGATTAGTGCAGAAGCTATTCTGTAGTTATTAGCATGAATATTTAAGTACATTTCTTTTGGCTAGGCTAATATCTCCTGGTATGTGTTTGAGCAACCAATTTTTTCCTTGCATGTACATTTCAAAACTCGTATTTCTTTCCAAAGTGCAAGGCCAGAGCAGAACTGCGAGTCTCACGAGCAGGTACAATACATACCCTGCTGTGTGTAACTCTTGGCCCTTCATTCAATCATCAAATCTGTGTTTTACTTATCTGTATAATAGGAAAATGGTTTGATAATGTACGTTTGTGGATGAAAAATATGTAGAAATGCTGATTTTATTGCAGTATTTTCAGTTATTTCTTAGAATGTGTATTCATATTTGAGTTTGTTCCCTGCTGTGCTGTGGCCTTGGAAATAAACCAGTTATTGTGTGATATTTATTTCCTAGATTAAATTACCTTATCCCAAAATTCTTTTAAGATGCTTTCAAGAGTTATACTCACTGCAAGTGTGAGCAAATATCTTTCTTTAAATGTTTCTGTATTTTATAGTATGTGTTTTATCCTTTTTTTTTTTTTTTTTGAAGTAAAATGCTGGGTTTACTGTTTGTTTGGGGTTTTAGGTTGGTTATTTTTTCCTTCCTCTCACCTTTAGTATTCTTTAAAAATGAAGTTTTAAAAGTGGGTTAGGGAAGAGAGGACAACACTGAGCTTTCTGTGGTAGTATTAGAAGCAGGGAAGTAGCCTTATTCCACAGTGCAGTTGGAGGGGAAGCAGCATGCAATTACATACATACAATTACAGGCAGCTTGGGATGGATCTGGAAAATGAAGAAGGATTGTCAGGGTACAGAGAATCTCTTTCTGAACCATTGATGCTTTCTCAGGCTGCTCAAGTACTAATTGCCGTGGTCTGTAGAAGTTAATCTTAAAACAGTAGATTAAATCCAACTGCTCCTTTTTCTTGTCTACAGTTTTTTTTTTCAAGTGCCATAAATTGATCATTTCCTGTACTTTTCAACCCAAGAACGATTTGTTCTGTACCATTCATCTGTAAGCAAATGTGGTAATTCAAAGAGCTTTATTCTGTGTTAAATTCTGTGGGAAAATGTAGGTGGAAGGCAAAGAGTGATCAACAAAGCTAGAATGATAGCTACTGATCTCTCAAACAAAAGTTCCCTGAAGCTGCTGCAGGTGATTTTGGGTTGGTAACTTGCAGGTTACCAGTCAGATAAATAGCTTGGGTTTTGCATTTACAGTGAAGCAATGCGGTTTGTTAAATAATAACTTGAAGTACAGTGTAAGATACTGGTGTAGGTGGACACCGTTTCTTGCTTGCAGCCCATACTATTTGATGATGTTTTTCTTGCAGATTTGAGGGAAACTAGGTCAGCCTGTAGGTTCTCATATAACCAGGACTTGTATGGGAGACATTCAAGGAGTACTTCAGTATTAGGTACGCTTCCAAAGTCTCTGCGTGACTCACCACCATCCATGGTGGTTGTGTAGTGACAGCAAATCTGTGTTACACATAGCTAATGCTTCTGAAGACATTGCCTGTAGGTGTCATAAACCACATATCTCTGACAGTTTAGTGTCCTTTCATGTCACTTGTAAATATGTCTTTGGTATGTAAGACCTACTGGCAGAGCAGTGCCACTCGGGAAAGGAAGGTGTTTGTAGTCTTGCTCGATAATGTTCAGCAGCTGCTTGGTTTCTGCTCAGAGTGACCGTATTTCTCCTGTACCATGTTAGCACTTTAAGTTTGCAAATTACTGTAAAGCTGTTGTGGTTTTATAAGGTTGAGGTTCTGTCAGCTGAAAGCAGATTTCTCAGATACAGAAACTGAACTGTAGTCCCGTCTGTTGTGGTAGATGACCACTAAGTCTTGGAATTTTCAGGCTGGCATTCTTCACAAGGGCTACAGTTCCCCATTAAAATATGTTTAAAGTTCTGATTAAAGAGGTTTAGCATGTGTTGCTTATAATATATTGATTTATGTTTTATAAAGTGAGCATTTAGAAATATTTTTATTATTTTCTGATCTGTTTCGATTATTCTGGTGAGGTGATTCCAGTATGATCTTTCATGGATGTGTACCAAGATGAGTCCACTAGGAAGAAGTAAATGAAGAAAACCAATATAATACTGAACTAAACTGTAATTGAAAGCCCTGAGTTGTTTAAGTAATACTCTAAAGAGCAGGACTGAGTTATTTGGGTAAATTATTACTGTTGTGTTCTTGTGCAGGCTGCTGCATTGCTGAAGTCCATCTCCTGTTCATCCAGTCTTCCAGACCACGTGCTCCATGCTTTGAGACCAGGAGGACCTTGGTGTTCTGAAATGAAGATGGAGGCGGTGGGAAAAGCAGAAGAACTTGACTCGCAAGTTCCACCAAAGACTTCTGAAAAGCAAGAAACTGTTCCTGATGAAGATGGACCTATAGAACTTGAGACACACACTCAGAAAGATAATGTGCCCATTGCAGCAGACTCTGCAGTGCTGTCTTCAATGCCTTGCTTACTGATGGAACTAAGGCGAGACTCCTCAGAGTCTCAGCTAGCATCTACGGAGAGTGATAAGCCAATGGGTGGTCGAGTTTATGAGAGTGACTCTTCTAATCATTGCATGCTTTCCCCTTCTTCCAGTGGGCATTTGGCTGACTCAGATACATTGTCTTCCACAGAAGAGAATGAGCCCTGTCAGGCTGAAGCTGTTGTAGAGGGAGATCCTTCTGCGGCGTCTGGGGTTGCAGTTGGGAGGAAATCCAGGCGATCCAGGTCCGAAAGTGAAACTTCAACAATGGCTGCCAAGAAAAACCGACAGTCTATCGATAAGCAGAATGGTCGAGTTACCAAAGTAAAAGGTCATCGAAGCCAAAAGCACAAGGAAAGAATCCGGCTCTTGAGACAGAAACGGGAAGCAGCTGCTCGCAAGAAGTACAACCTGCTGCAGGACAGCAGTACCAGTGATAGTGACCTGACATGTGACTCGAGCACAAGCTCATCAGAGGATGATGAAGAGGTTTCAGGGAGCAGCAAGACAATCACTACAGAGATACCAGGTAGAGGATGTTTTTTAAACTGAACTGTAACGCATCTGCCATTGTTTCTCAGCTGTCATGTTAAGTTAGACAAGTGACACTTGAGAAAAAACAGCAGAACTGCAGCTCTGTGTAAATTTGAAGACTGCAGTATATTAACAAGACATGGGCAAATTATAAAATCTGTTCTGAGGTTTCAGTGCACTTCTGCACTCCAGCAAAGCATAGGAATGGTAAATTGGAGGAAAGACTATCTTTGAATTCTGGAATTTTCAGATTTTTTTTCCTTTGCAAGCCTCTATGAACTCCTGTCAGTGCTGTCAAATCCCATTAGATGGTGATAATGTAGTAAATACATTCTTAAGATAAGTGGCCAGCTTTGCTTTAATATATTAAGACCACAGCTCAGCAGCTATATTAGAAATAACATGGCAAACCTCTTGCTGTGTCACAGTAAGGCCCTGTTCACTATTGCACGTGCCATTGCTTTCAGCTCTACATTTCAGTGCATGACAGACCTACTTAGGCTTACTTTAAATTCTTGCAGATCACAGCTGGTCACCTATTTTAGGAGATTAAACATGAATTTGTTTGTGCAGGTACCCGAGCTATTTCCGCCCCAAAATTTTTAACACTTGAGACAAAGCTGTTACTGTTTTCCTTTGACATAGGATCTTCAATGTCTATAGAAAGTTTTATTTCTGAAACATCCGTTTTAAGATTAGAGGCAGCAAGTTACAAGGGCTTTCTCATGACTTTGTTAGCAAAAGAAACATTAATTCTTTTCTGTCTACTGAGTGTTATTAGCTCAAGTGCTGTGGACAGGAGCTCATGTGCATTACTCTTGCAGCATATTATACCATAGAACCATCATCATATACAATCAGAAATAAAAACACATAAAAAGAAACCTTTTGGCTTGCCCGTTTTTGCTGGGTTACATGCCTTTTTGCCTCTTGTGCTAGAAGTTTGGGGATTTTTTTGAGATAAATATCAGCTTACATAGGACAAGAACATTTAAAGGAAAACCTCAGTAATTGAGTCTTAAGTTGCTGAACTAATATTTTCTAGATGAATTATTTAAAATATTTACAGCAGATTTTACAAATAACTGTGTTTTAACTGACTTGTTTATGGTGTATGGCTCTGGCACCATGAGAAGTGACATTTTTCCCACATACTGCTAGGAAGCAGGTTGCACAAAGGAAATTAATGTTTATTATCACAAAGCCTGGCAGAGGCATAGTCCTCCTATAATTATTGTGTAGTTAACTTCTAATAGAGATCTAAATTGGTGAAAATAATTTTAGTAGTTAAACTTACAGCTTTCTTAGTTTTATGCTTATATTTACTATATTTACACTTGCTGGGTAATTAAAGCCTGGTTTAAAGCTTGCCAAACAAGACTTACTTCATCGAGTTTTGGGACAGGTTCTTCCTCAGCCCTCAAAAAACCCAAACCATACACAATAAATCCCTCAGGTTATGTTATTTTTCTAAGTTACAGAAGTACCTTGTGACCTGGAAAGGCACAACATGATATTTTCAAGTCTGCTTAGATTGTTTACTTCTATTGCATGGACCTGAAACCACTCTAGGGTGCTTTTTCAGTGTCACTAAGGTATATCTGTGTTTAGAGTTCTCTGTCTTAACTGTGAGAAGCCTTCAGTGAAAAGGTCCCATTGCAGTGCACTAAAGAATTTGTTTATTCAGTGGTGATGACACCAAGGCCCAAGTTTACCTGCAGAGCAAGATGTGGGAGTGCTTGATACTAAACTACATTTAAGACAGTAAAACTTCTGAGCAGTCATTTTGGACTTAGGGGCAATGTGTACCTGCTGCTTTGTGATTTTCTTTTAAATAGAAGCAACTTTGGTTTGTGGGAAACAGTCTCCAAGTACAAGAGAAAAGTATTCTCTGTAGAGATAAGGACAAGGTTGGCCAAAAATGCATCTTGTCCTACTTGTGGGTTAATGAAATGTGGTCTGAACAGATGCAATGGAGCTAGGAGCCTGAGAAGAACTCTCAGGTCTTGGTTGCAGTGGTAGGTTCACGTGCCATCTGCGATCCCTCTTCTTGGAACTGGCAAAGTGTTTACCTTGAATAGTCTTTTTTTTTTTTTTTATTTGACATATTTTATTTGCTTTAGTGCACTTAGCGTTACACTGTGAATATCCTTAAAATTTAGGGAATGAGCATGTAGTTAGAAAATAATACAGGGTATTAAAAAACATTGGAAAATCAGGCCATGAATGTCTTCTGAAGACAGTTAAAAGCTAAGCAGGTTATCTTGGGTCTTGAACTTTAATGTCAAGAAACTAGAATGTGCCTGTTGGAGGGAATGAAGCATGAAAAGACTTTTACCTTTACTTTTGGAAAAGGTCTGTATGCATTAATGCAGAGGAGTTGTACAGGTAGGCTGTGTTCCTCTTAGTCTTCCTGTATTTGGACGCTTCAGTTGTAGTTTTGGTTGGTTGTTTCATTACTGATTTTCAAATGTCTGTTGTCTGAATAATCACTTTGCCAACAGAGATGCTCGAAAACTTTTAGTGACAGTTAATGTGGCCTTTCATGCATGGAGGTTATGTCATCATACTCTGGCTCTTAACTTTCTCTCAACTTACATAGTGTTACAGGAGACAGTTGGCTTGTGCGCGGTCTGAAAATTAAAGTGCTGCATTTGAGAACACCGTAATCTTTCCTGTTGTGTAAATGAGCCTCTTCCATTGTAATAGTGCAGTTATTTTTCTCAAATTATCCACATCACTGGCTCTGAAATACGTTTGGCTAAATAAATAAGGTAAGGGAAACGTTTAGTGAGATACGTAACAATGCCATGAAGTTGTAAACTGAGGTGTTTTGTAATAGAGTCAATTCTCTCTGCTGAACTCAAATGTGATGTGGGTTAAAATACTGGCAGGCTTGTCTGTCTTCTCAAGAAGGATTGAAGAGTAAAGAATTGACATCTCACTGGTGGTACTTCAAATACTGTGAGCTCAATAGGAGCTATGCACAATGTGTGTTATGTTTTTCTGAATGCATTATGTGGTGTTAATTTACACCCAAAATTACAGGTTCAATCTAAACTTCATGGGTGCTACTGAGAATCTTTTCACTCACCTGTGCAGTCGTAATCTTGGTCTCATTAATGAAGGGAATGCCATGATTTTTGAATTACTGCAGATGAGGAGAAATTTCCTTTAATGATTAAGCCTCTCTGTTGGCATGTAGGACTTTGTCATTCTTAAGGAAACAGCAGATAGTTTTTATGTCATAAGAGGATGATCTTTGAAAAACGTCTGTTGAGTATCTTTCTGCATATCACTCTTATTTGGAAATGGTAGCATAATGAGTTGGAGGAATCATCCACCATTGCTAATGAGAATGAAGATGTGACATATTTTAACTTGTTACATTGTCAGAGTTCCTGAATTAAATAACCTTGGATTTGATTATTATTTGGATAGTATTTCAAAGATCCCATAAAGAGACAGAATTGGGGTGTTTCTTAGGTGCTGTTTTGCAGGAGGTATTGTCTTGAAAGTAAGATACGATTCTTGGATTCTGACTCCTTTGAGATTGCAAATTACCTTTTATCTTGGCATAACTTGAAAAACTATAGAGCTATAAGTTTCTATATAGCAAAAGGAACAGTTAGATGAATGTTAGCATTTTTAATGCAAGAAAAATACTTTTTTAGGCTTGATTTGCTTTCTAACCGTGAAGGCCACCAGTAAAGACAAGACTTATAAGAACTGCAAGGGAAGCATTTGAAACATTGATTTGCTGCTACTGTAAATTCTAGATCTATTATAAATGATGCCTTTTAAAAATAGTATTGCAGGGTGAGATATATTTCAAAGCATAGTTTATTAGTTTTGTCACCTTTCATCATGCTAGTTCATTCTTGACTCTGAAAGCTGAGCTAGCAAGAATCACACATCACCATCAACAGTTTTTATTTAAATTGCAGTTTAAAGTTACTCAACATTACTTAAATGTGTCTGATCAGAAAGATTGCCCTGTAGTTACTTGATTTTAGGATTACATCCCTGAATAAAGTAAAAAAAAAAAACAAACAGAATCGTATTGGATGTTCAACTCTAGGAGTACATGAGCAAAAAGGAGCTTGGTGTTTTTTTCAGGAAGGAAAAAGACACAATATTAAAAAAGGAACAACATTTTTGGGGAAAAAAAGCATTTTATTTAATTAGTTTTAGTTAAAATGCAGTTGGAGGATGTAAATTAGTTGCTATAAAGCAATTTTTTTTGAGCAGAGGACCTGAATGCTGAATTTCCAGCCTGCCTAACAGGTAGACAGATGGGAGAGAAGACTTAAAAAGCAAGGGTTTAAAAACAGAATGGTTTTTGCCCCCAACAGGTAGCATTGCTACTGCTTGGAAATAAGGGAATGACCCTGGGCTTTGTTCAGCTGTTACTGATGGAATTATGTATACCTCATTTAAATAGCTGCTAAAAAGAATGTATTATGTAAGTAACACTGCAATTTCATGTGCACAGTGAAATCCCAATAAAGATTTAGTGCCTTATGTTTTTGTTAGTAGATATTTGCTTAGGTTGTGCAGTGATTTTTCTCATTCTTAGGGTATTTTCTATTAGTCTGAAGCTAGAGGATATCCCACAAGTTTCACATTTACATATTAAATTGTCACATTCTGCAAGTGCTGTGTGTAGTTTAATGTGGTGCTTGTCTTGTTTCGTAATTAACTTAGGAAACGTGTGCTTGGACAGCATGCACATATTGTTTATTACTCCTCAAATAGCTACAGAGCCTCTTTTCTTGGGGTTTTATTGCTTCTAGAGGATTCCTGAGTGAACTCCAAACTCAAAAATATAGATACCACTGCCTTTTCTTTACTGATACTTAGAGTAAATAAATGAGAATGGCCTTCTGTCCTTGCTGCTGAAGTTCTTCCTGATAATCCCAAAGCCAGTAATTTCAATCATCTTTCTGATGGATAGAAGGAAGAACAGTTTCCTTCCAACTATGCCCTGTCTGGTTTTCTGCTTTGCCTAGTTGATACCAGAAATGCTGCAAAGTCAGTGGCTCGTGTGATGAAAGGCATGCTTCTGATTGGTGTGAGGTTGTGTCATGTGGGCGTGTCGTTGTGATGTAGCTGTGTCTGTCACACCTAGCAGAGGTTGCTTTCACCTCGTGTACTAGGATGGCATTCACATATCTTCTCATGTTCATACATGTCTGTGTTGTTTATTCTCTTCACTGGCGTTCATTGTGTTCTCCAAAACTGGGCCAAGAGCTCCAAATCTCCAAATACTATTAACTGAGAAGCCTGAATAATTACTCATTACTTTACTTACATACTTGAACCTTTTTATAATAGACTGTTAAATGCAGACAAAATTGTACACAACAGAGATAAAGGCTGATATAGCAACTGCAGCATCTAAAGCTATTTGGATCTCAGTGTAACAGAATTAAATGTTACTGTATAATGTTTTGACGCTTTCGGTTGAATTGTAAACAGAAATTGCAAGGGAACTGGACTACTTTGGTTTATTTGTAGGGGAAAAAACCTTTGTGACAGGGTTTTCTGAGAATTCTAGGATAAAAATAATTTCAAAGCCAAAATTTCCATTATAAACTCAGTAAGTGTGAAAATGTTAATTATTTTTGACAGTAGTACTGTTGGTTAATATTTATTAATTCCTCCCCTGTTGTCATATCCAAGGGACACGATTAGAAAAGTTGTTTTCCTGAGTTAACATGCGTTGATAAACAGTTTTATGTTCTTACTTAATGATGTCTTATCAAATGGCCTCAATGTCTTTAAAGCTGGCTTCATTCGTGCTGGGGGATCTGGAGGAGCGACCAGGGAAATTCCAGGATTGCTTGACAGGGGCACCGTGTGGGATAGGAACTGCATAGGCAATGTCCTGGAAGAGGCCATGAACTGCTTTGCCGAGATGCAGAGGCAGACAGAGGAGAAATTTCGCATGTGGATAGAAAAACTAACCCATCTTGACACAGATGAAGAAAGCAAGCAACAACTGGAGCCCAGGGAACCTAAAATTCAACTAGTTGGCCAGAGAATCCCCCCTACCACACAGTCAGGGGCTTTCCTACAGATGCCTGGTAGCCAAATACTTCCACAGCAGTCATTCAGTTCTTACGTGGGCTATCAAAATGTTGATGATATGGTAGAGTTTCCAGCGACTTTTAATAACAATTTTTCACCTATCTTTCCAGAGAATGGGAATATTGCAGAGCCTGATCTGAATCAATCATAAACTTAAAAAATTCTGATCTTTGCAATACTGATGTTGGTTTGGATTATGCTTTAAACAAGGTTTGCTTTTTTCTTCATATATGTTTGTTTTGATTTTTCTCTTTGGGATTTTATTACCATGGCATAATTGTTTTTTAATTTACAGAGAATATATATGTAGTTTAAAAAAACCCAGAGTCTACCCACATGTGTGTGCCAGCACGCACATACGAACACCTTTAAAGGTGTGTATGAGGGAAAGCCTAAGTTTCATCACCAAACATGGGAAAATATAACTTAAAATCCCTTTTAGCTACCCCAGAATCAGTAGACCTATGTCTGCTACATTAGGAGCATTCAGAGTATTCATCCAAATGCCCTTTTTGCATGTTAAAAACGTTTATATGAGGAAATAAGTTTTATATTTAAATATGTAAAGTACCCTAGAGAACCAGACTTAGTACAGACCTATAACATTTCTTTAACTATCTGTTTACTCCCAAGTTTTGCAGCTTGAAAATGTCAAACATTAGTTCTTTCTTCTTCCCTTACTTAGGCAGAAGTAATGAATAAGCTTACCCTAAAGGTTTAACTATATATAACAAATGTGCACAACTGATTTGCTTTTTTTTCTCCCTTTTAGTAATTCATTTTCTGTCCATAGTTTTTAGTAATGTCACTACTGTGTTGCACATGGCACATTTATGGAAGCAGCTGTCTTACACTGTGTGCACAAGTATGCACGTGTATATGCGTGTATATATATATATATGTGTGTGTGTGTTCAGTTTGGATGGAAGTCATCTCCTCTATTTTTAGGTGTCTGCTGTTATGTGGATCTCCTGAGACAATGGGAAGAGGTAAGCACCTAGAGAGGATACTTCCTGGCAATGTCTTCCTCTTCCATTAGTTGTCTAAACTTCCCTTACAAACAGTTTAGGATAGATAACTTCTGGCTGAAGTCTGGGGAGAGGATCCCATCCAACTTACATGTATGTGCATGACCTGTGCACACAAGGCACTGCTGCTTCCTTCTGTATATACGATTGAGCTGCATCCTTCATGCTGGAATAAAAATAGTTGTGTCAGTCCTGAGATAATCAGCCACCAGTGGATGGATTGAGCCTTGGCATAGGAATTTAAAGGAAGGCTTGATAGTTGGGTTAGTAAACACTGTGGTCTGAAGGGATGGGTTGCTGGTCTGTGTCAGACAGCATGAGCTGCTTCTAAACTGCATTCAAATGCCACTGAAATAATTTCTTACTTGTGATGGGGAATGCCAGAACATTAGTTTCATTTAAATAATACAATAGCTTGCTATTGTGTGGAATCTTTTTTATACTTATAGTTATTCTAAATAGGAAGGCTTGAAACTGTGATGTTTAAAGTAGAATTAATTTAAACTATATATTAGAAATCTCTATTTAATTCTTACTATTATCAGTACACACAGGGATTTTTTGGTCATGTCTCCATTAAGGTCTTTCTTCATGAGAAGTAGCTTCTCTGTAGCTACCAAAAATGTATATTTATCAGATAGAACTTGCTAAAAGTTTCTAATTCAAATCAAAGTTCTAATAATGGAAATTGAAAGTCTGCATAGATATAGTTTAAGTAGAGAGGACACTTTAGCTCTCTTATTTTCCTTTTTAAACCACCGTCACTTTTCCTCCCCCCCCGGTTATTTTAGTGTAATTCCTTTTCTTCCTTTTGGAAGTAACCACTGATTTTATTTTTATTTTTTTTTCCTTCCCGAAGTCAGTGGGAGTTTTTCCATTAATTTATGTGGGGTTTTGGATCAAACCTGTAACAGGAACTTAAGAAATGCTTTTTGTTACCAGTATAATACTTGGCCAGACTGTTTTTTGGTTTTTTTTTGAGTGTGTGATGCCTTCATTGAAAACCAGTGTGGTTAGAGAATTATTTTATTTTTATAGTAACTGTTTGAAAGACTATGCAGGAGACAGTTTTTAAGTACTGGAATAAATTTTTTGCAGATCACCTTCACGCATAATTTTGATACAAAGATTTTGATGTAAACTTGTAAGAAAACTCCCTCATCTGAAATTGTGAGCATTCCAGGTAGAAGTTAAGTAAGTTATTTTATGTTTGTTTGTAATTCAGTACCTTGTCCTCATCCATTTAAAATTTAAGAACCTTCAGGGAAGATTATTTGGTGATACTGAGAACAATCATATCCTTTTGGTGTTCATAGGTTTATATATACATATATATATATATATACACACACACATATCCTTTATGCAGATAATAAGAGCAGCATATTTTAAAGCATGATGATTTTACAAGTTTTCCCATGCATGCAGAAGCAGCTTTTTGCAGTGACTGGTTTCTTTTTTGATGTGCAAGAGTCACTTAACTCAGTACGTCTGTAAGCATGCTGTTAACCTTTTTTATCAAACTGTATATATGGAGCAATTAGATATTTCAGAAACAAATTGTTTCAGGGGGTTGATTGAACTTCCCTCTCAGATTGAAACATCTTTGTGCAGGGGTCTCAGAAATGGGTAATAATTTTGTTAGGGATGTAGCCAGTGGAATTTCTGCGAGTCTTCAATATCTTGGTAATTCGTTGAAAAACTCTAAATCTTGCCAAAAAAATTTAAGTTGACAAGCAGGTATTCTTTATTGCGGTGCTGGGAGACAGGGGGGATAGCTCCTCCAAGCGTGTCCCACTCAAGCACCGAACAAGCTGTGATGATATAATCATTAAATATACAAATTCATTACATTACATGCATATTCAGGAAGTTACTTATGCATTACATCATATCTCTATAAAATTCTTCCCACATGCGCCCAATAATGTGGTAGTGATCTTTGAGACCCCTGGTGGTCATTTCTTCATCATCTTTGCCTTCCTCTTCATCACTTCGTCCTTTGGCTGAACTTTGGAGCTGGCCATCCTTGTTGTCCGTTTGCCAGCTGCTTAGTTAGTTCTGACTGGTTTCCCTAAACATTAACTGAAGAGTTCTCTTCCTTGTCATTGTTATAGAGTCCACTTGGGGTCCAAATCACTTAGTTATAAGCAAAAGATTTGTTCTATATACAAAGAGCTATCCTTCATTCTGTCTTGTTCTTTCCCCATCTCTTTGGTTAGGTAATCTTAAAAAAAAAAACAAACATTGAAATAATTTAGTGTGTTAATAGACAAAAATTTGGATTTTGTTACTACAGGCAAAAATTTAAAACTTTCAAACATTTTTATCCATTACCGTTAATTGTTGTTTTCAATTGCAGGTAGCTGTGAATGTGAAAGAACAAGCAGATTACAGCAGTTGAGCATACAGACTTGAAAGCTATGCTTTTTCTAGGGTAAAATTACTCCAAGACACCCAGAAGACTGAGGGAATAGTTCCTATTAGATATCATTTTAATTGAAGTTCCCCTACAAAAGCTACATAGTGTGGAAAACACCTGTGCAAGACCAGTGGTTATAAATTGTTCTGTAAATGATAAATATGACTTGGTTGAGTCACTCTTTTCACTTGCCTCAAAACTGGAGCAAGATCTTCAGCTGCCATAAATCAGCTCCTCTAAAAAGTGTGCATCTTAGACCAGACAGCTGACTGTCTGGTCTAAACTGAAGCATCTCTCTTCTTGCTTTGTATTGTGATTTTGAAAAATGCAGAGCACTGAAGAAACCAACCTTCAGATCCTAGCGATTAGTCTGTATTTTAAATGTGTGTGGCAACAGCCTTCAGCATCTCTGAAAAAGCAGATTCTCAATACATAATTTCATATTATGTTTCACTTTTTCTCCTGGAAATATCTTTGCTATATTATATGTCTGCAATTAAGTTTCTCATGATTTCCATTATAAACTCTTGTTTTCAAAGGGCTTTGACTAGAAACTGTCAGGGAGTTAAAATTTCTTCAGCTGCAATTTTAACATAAATTTTAATCTCTTCCATATTTCATTAAACCAGTCTGGCCTTATTTAAGACTATTTTAAGATTATCAGAAGGAAACTATTAAACTTTCCAACCCAGAGTTACATTTTGAATCTAAGTTTATGCTCGCGTATCAGTAAACTACTTCAAAACCAGCTACATTTTGAGTCTCTGTTTATGCTCACATCTCCAAGAAATTACTTCAAACCTGTGAAATTTAACAAGTGGAGGAGAAATCAGAAGGAGTTTTGCACAGAGGTGGGGAATCACAGACTATAATTTAGAATTTCTTTAATTGCCCTGGTTTTATACTTACGAGTGGAGCAAAGAAACCTTACAGTTTCTTTAAAGATTTTTATGTATGATTTGAAAGAGTAAATGCATCAAGTCATATCAGCTGGTTCATACTGATGTAATTCCAGGGAAGATGGTGTCATGTAAAACATAGCTACTTTGTTAGCTTTTTTATTTGCAAGTGCAAAAGAAATAAGTCTTTATTTAATTTAAATGTCACTAAATACAAACTGACAATTCACTAAATGAAAAATTGAAGGATCTGATCCTAGAATTGGAGCCAATGTAGGAGTCCTTGGCATTTCAAGGGGATTTAGTATGCAGTGTTTTTGCAGGCTTAGTCTGCAAGTTCTTCCCCAGGGATTTGTGCTGCTTCCCTTCATCTAGTGGAGTCTGCAGGAAATTCCACCCTTCACACCTCGTTTTATCTGAGCATTTGGGGGTTTTGCTTCACATACTTCCGATTTTATTTAGGAAAAACAAAAGTATTATATACAGCAGAAATTCAAACAAAGGCAGTGAAGCTTTATTCAGTGTTTCTGTTGTAAAAAATAAACAGAGCAGGTAAAAAGACAAAAAAGGGAAAATAATCTTAAACCTTTCAGATTTACTGCCCCTCAGTGTTGTTTCTAATAGTAGTAGGACAGAATAATTCAGACAGAAATAAAAATCTGTTTTTTAAGTTCACAGTGTATTTAGTGTTTTTGGAGGATTGTGAGGTTGTTTTATCTGAGCCGCTAGAGTTAAGACTTGGAGGACAAATCTTAATTTCAGTGACACTGGATTATATTTAGCAGTTATTTTCCAAATCGAAATGTATTTCTTTTCACTGATTTGATTTGTTAATGTATTTTGTCCCTTCCTGTATCCAAGTACTGTAATTTTTTTCTTTTTTCAGAGTACTGTTTCAAGGGCATTAAGACATTAAATCCTCATTAAAATCCAGTAGAAATTTTCTGCTAATTTCAGTGGGACTAGCGTTCCACCTTGTCAGAAACTGAACTTATTCTGCACTTTTTTCGATCAGAGAATCCTTCAGCTGACTTAGGGTAAACTTTTGCCTGATGGGTGTGTGTAAATCAGACAAGTTAACTAGATGTTTTTAAGCTGACCTCTGTGGTTTCATGTGGGAGCATGAGAGCAAATGCAATGTGTAGTTCATACTGTATTAGCTAAAATATTCAGGCTGATTGATAGAGATGGACAGTACCTTGCAAAATGAAACAAAATTAAAAAAGCTAGAAATCGGACTTTCTCACAAATGTTATTAGTCTCATAGTATTAGATCAGCAAAATGAAGGCACACAGAAAATAGGCTGATAGAGTTAGAAGTGATTGAAGTGCTCTGTTAAATCTCAAAGGCTGGCCAAGCCAAGGGATTAGTCTGGACCATCAGAAGTTTTGCACAAATGCTGTATTAGCCTTTCCATGGGAAGATGCAGTTTGTACTTGCAAAAGTGTGATGTTTTCTGGAGGGGAGTGTGTTTACTTGCCTTTTCCTAATGTAAGCAGTATATACATAGGGAATACTTTATTTTAACTGTCATAGCTCTGTCAGAGTTGGGTGTGATGATTTCCAAAACCCTCCTGATACACTTTTGCAAGTGAAACTGGGGAAGAGATGTGGCTAATATATGTGCTTCCATAATTAATGAATCATTAGGTGACATCAGGGAAAATAAATCTTATCACAAGATACAAAGTGCACACTACTTCTTGGTGTTTTCAGTGCACAGCCACGATCCATGTGCCTTTGTTTAACACACAATGAAAAAGGCTGTTTTATGTCTTCATGTATAATTTGATAAAACAAATCCAAGATACTTTCTATCTAGTCATCAAAAAGCCTGAAAGAATGAATGATCAGCAAGACTTGTATTTTTGATGTGCTGTCTAAAAAATGGTATGGTCTGAGAACAGGTACTCATTTGATCATGTTTTGAGTTTATAATTTTATTACTATGGTAAAAAAACCAACAAAACCACAAAAGCTTTACTGTGTGAAATGAAGGAAAATGCGAGGAAAGTGGATTCATGGGTAAAGTTCACTTTATGGCTTTAGAGTGAATGTTGTTACACTCTATTGTTTTTTATTGTATTTACAATGTATTCTTTGCCTAACCCTGTAAATTTTGAAATGTAACCAGTGTAACCTGGAATAAATAAATATAAATATAAATAGTAATGAAGTGTTTCATGTTGCTGAACAACATAAAAAAGCAGCAATCTCCTGCATCCCCACCCTGCTTTAGAAATTGTTTTAGGATTCAGCTAGTTTGTGCCATTTAAACTGCTCATACTTTATGAAGAGGCAGCTCTGGATCATGTTTTAAATAATGCCAGGTTTATATTGTCTATCTACAACAGAATGACTTTCAGTTCAGCCTGTAGTCTTATATCCAAACCCTTTCTGCTCAAAGTTACTGAAGTGTCTACTGTAAAACTACTTTGGCAAGTCACTT